TTCTGACATTAGACATTGAATAGAAGAGGATAAAGTGTATTGAACAAAATCATTTTAATCTGATCTGTACACTTTGAGTAGTGCAAATCTCGCACAATGATTAATGAAATGAAAATGATCATAGAATAACTAAATTATGATTGTTATTAGTGTAAAAACCAAGCGGCAACCTTCCGGTCTCTCTCTTGAAACCAACACGGAAGTGACTTAAACTTCCAAAACTCCAAAAGGGAGTCAGTCCCATAGACCCCCCATGTTAAATTGCCCAACTTTACAGCAGAAAAAAAATGTTTACAGCCTGGTACAAGAAGTGGTTTTGGTCTATATAGCTAATTTTGCCCTTCATGACAACTGTGAGGGGGGAGAATTTGTTTTATAACTCATCCATTTAAATTATATTAAGCCTTAAAGTTCTGCATAATTAAGGTCATGGCCACTTGAGTGACAGGTGGATTGCCGCTGCTGTCACCACCGTCGAGCTAGGTGGGCCTGGTTTCAGCAACCAGCTCCACCCACGTCCCGCCTCTTTGCTCATTTTCGATTATCCGAGAGTGACGCGCTGCCAAGAGGGTGACGGCCCGCTCCGCCCAATTTAGGCTTCAAAAATGCTCTTCAGAATCCTACGGGTGACGTCACGGACACTACGTCCAAGTTTTTTTTTACAGTCTATGGTAAAAACACTCTTACATGAATAAGTGGACCTTGGAGAAATTTTTTTTATAAGCCTGATAAGACACTGTTCTACAGTAATTCTATTAATGTGCATGCGTCTGTTTTTTTCATACTGTTTTTCATGTCAGTACTTAAAGTGCTTCCTGTTACATGACCAACTCACCTGTCAATCATCACCTTTAAATACATGCATTCTCTCTCTCTCCTCAACTCTAACCCACTGTCACATAAACACACTTCCACACAAAGAGGAGTTTATTAGGGAACCAGTGGTGATGAAAAATATAATGACAGAGAGGGGAAAAAAAACAACCAGAGGGAGAGATGGAGACAGATAATGAGAGAGACTGTGTGTGGAGGAGTCTCATATAGAAGGAATGTATCCGGTATATGTTCACGTGTGTGTGTGTGCGTAATAGCAAGTTTATGTGCTTGAGACATACAATAGTTGTGTGTCTGTGAAGTTGCTTGTTTAGCAGGCTGTCCCTCTCTTAAACACGATTTCATTCGCTGAGGAGCAAATACACTCTCACAGTCTTTTACAGTCTCTCAAGGTGAGATACAAATGAAGCGCTCTTTTTTTCAGGTACAGGCCTCTTGTTGCTTTAAGGGCTCCCTGAATTGATTTTTGACATACTGTAGGATACACATGGAAGAGGGAGTAAGAACTTAAAATGCTTTTATATTGTTCGTTCTGATAGAAACGTTCAAGTGTTGTATAAACTGTGACAATCATACAGCCGCGTAAATGGAAAGTAAATGTGATTTTAAGTAAATTCAATTGATGTTTAACTTGATTTAAGCTTCTTTGTGTCTTAATGGTTTCAGTATTATGGAAAGAATACTTTCATGTCATGTTTGTAATGTTTTTGGCATATTTGGCCAGTCAAACATTTTGCTGGAATATTTCAGACCTTAAGTGTTCACTTAAAATATATAACTGTATTTGAAAGTCAACATTGAGCTCAAATATGCATTGTGTCATTATTACTGTGTTTTTAGTGAAAGAATAATATATATATTTGGTCATTTTGAGACAATTTTGCTTCCTTTTATCACTTCACTTCCCTTTTCCAATATATGTGTCAATATTTTTGCTAATTAGAGTATTGTAATATTAGTTTAGCAACATGTAAATCTAATTTTTCCACATTTTTAATAAAAAATATTGTCTAATATTGTGTAAAATGAAGTGGTGATTTCATTGAGTACGTTTTTGTGTATGTATTTGCAGTCTTAAAAATATAGTGTTTTATTTTTATTGAAATCAAATGTGAAATTTAAATGTTATCCTATTTTATTAATTTTATTTTGTTTTATTTTAAGTAAATTGGTCAATTACTGGTGTTTTTCACTTATACATTTCTGTGGCTGTGCTTATAATAGCTTATGCTTGGTTTTGGTGCTTTTTATGGCTCTGCAATAAGTTGTTTGCTTTTATTCCAGTAGCTTCTGATTTCTATTGACCCAGTGAGTTTTTAATGCAGCTATTATGAGAATGTCATTCAGAGTGGTGTTTGCTGTCGTGCATGACCTGCGGACCAACAATCAGAGAAGACAATGTTGTTATGTTAGAGCTAAATTGCCCCACACCCCATTTTTTAATGCATTCATATTGACTTAATATATTATTATGCCTTGTAATTCAATTCACAAAGAGAAAGAGGATATAGATTCATTTCAACCCCTCTCTCTGAGATATCTTTTATTTAGAATCGTTATTTTTAGTCCTGGATGTCTGGGATGTGGTTCCTTCAAAGGGCCAGAGGACTCTAGAGCAGATTCTTTCCTCCCATTTCTATATCTCCCGTGACCCTTAAGGCCAGCAACTGCTGGCTGCCAGCAACTGGGATACAGTCAGTGAGGCAGAAATGTGTTGCTATGGCTGACATAACTGACATAACACTTGTGCTGACTAACCCATGGCAGATGACCAGTTCTTTAATGCAGAACATGGGCAGTAAATCAAAGCCATGCTCTATTAATTATACAGTGGCCCCCAAAAATATTGGGACACTTGAGCATCAGTTAAAAATGTATGAATTTCATTGCATAACAAAAAAAAAATCAAAGCAAGCGGCTGCAAACAAATGATGCTAGTGTTTTCTTAGAATTGACTTCCTTTTAGCCATTTTTTTGCAGTGACTTTTAATGATGAAGTTCCACCAAAGTTCCATAACGAGAAAATGTTGAAATACCTTTTAATAGTGAACAATGTATTATCAAAACAAACTACTTTTTGTGAAATGTTTGAAAAGTATACTTGTGCTTTCTTTCTTTAAAATTAATGATACTTTGTAAATGTTGTTATTTAATGCAATGACATTCTTACATTTTTAAGTGTACTGTTACCAAAGTGTCCAAGGTTTTTTTTTTTTTTTGTGGGACCCATATGAAATTACTCACTTGTTTTAATATTTGTAAATAGGCTGGTGCATTCGTTGGTAATTGATAGAAAATACAGCTTTGACATGAATAGAGTTTACACAACATGAAAATGTATTATTTGAGAAACTACACATATTAGCCTTAAGTAGGAATATTTGTAATTTAAAAAAATGTGTCACCTTTTTTAATAGACTAGGCAAAAATGTAAAAAAAAATATACTATATTAGATAATAATCACTGTATTATACTGTATACTATATTATAATGGTATAATGGTACAATTATTATTAATAAATTATATATATTTATAAATATATATATATATATATATAGTGGTTCCTTCAAAGGGCCAGAGGACTCTAGAGCAGATTCTTTCCTCCCATTTCTATATCTCCCGTGACCCTTAAGGCCAGCAACTGCTGGCTGCCAGCAACTGGGATACAGTCAGTGAGGCAGAAATGTGTTGCTATGGCTGACATAACTGACATAACACTTGTGCTGACTAACCCATGGCAGATGACCAGTTCTTTAATGCAGAACATGGGCAGTAAATCAAAGCCATGCTCTATTAATTATACAGTGGCCCCCAAAAATATTGGGACACTTGAGCATCAGTTAAAAATGTATGAATTTCATTGCATAACAAAAAAAAAATCAAAGCAAGCGGCTGCAAACAAATGATGCTAGTGTTTTCTTAGAATTGACTTCCTTTTAGCCATTTTTTTGCAGTGACTTTTAATGATGAAGTTCCACCAAAGTTCCATAACGAGAAAATGTTGAAATACCTTTTAATAGTGAACAATGTATTATCAAAACAAACTACTTTTTGTGAAATGTTTGAAAAGTATACTTGTGCTTTCTTTCTTTAAAATTAATGATACTTTGTAAATGTTGTTATTTAATGCAATGACATTCTTACATTTTTAAGTGTACTGTTACCAAAGTGTCCAAGGTTTTTTTTTTTTTTTTTGTGGGACCCATATGAAATTACTCACTTGTTTTAATATTTGTAAATAGGCTGGTGCATTCGTTGGTAATTGATAGAAAATACAGCTTTGACATGAATAGAGTTTACACAACATGAAAATGTATTATTTGAGAAACTACACATATTAGCCTATTGTAGGAATATTTGTAATTAAAAAAAATGTGTCACCTTTTTTAATAGACTAGGCAAAAATGTAAAAAAAAATAATACTATATTAGATAATAATCACTGTATTATACTGTATACTATATTATAATGGTATAATGGTACAATTATTATTAATAAATTATATATATTTATAAATATATATATATATATATATACTAGCAGACATTAAATTAAAATCTATATTTATAGAATATATCTGATGTATGTTTTTTTTTGTGTTAATGCCAGTATATTGTTAACATAGCATATTGGCTCCATAAATAGAACCATGATTATGGATAACCTCGACCCGAGAGTATGGTAAATGTCATTAACATATTCCTAGTAGAGTCCACATGACCTTTATGTATAGCCTATTACGTCACTCTCCTCTCAGCCAATCAGATATGCTTATGCTCTGAATTGAGTGACACTAGGATACGGCTGGGTCAGCGTCAGGGCCTCGACGGCGTCTCCTAGCAGCAGGGCAAATGTGACGCCCTCAGCGATTGGAAGCAAAGGCTTTGCATACTGCTTTGACTGAGCAGCCAATCTATGCTCTCTGATATCACTGCAGCTCCTAGAGTGAGTGAATGTCCAGTCACGTATTCAGCCACAGAGCAGATGTGAAGCAACCTCAATCTAGACTGCAGGGACACAGCATCTGTTCTGAACTTAACTGGCCTGTTTGTTTTAAGTGATAATGGCTCCTTTCTGTGTTTAAATGTGTGTGTGGTTTGTAATGATTATTTTAAATGATCGCTACAGTGCTTATCAACATGCTCTCTCTTAATTTCTCTCTAGATTGAGAACATTGGTGTCTGTCTGAGCTTCCTAGCAGCCAAAGGTGTGAACATACAGGGACTTTCAGCTGAAGGTAAAAACACAGTTTTTAAAATGTATTTACACTTTACAGCTTCAAGTAAGATTTTATTTACAATTTGAACTTAGATGATTGCGAAATATGGGTATTTCACACTTTAAATTGTTAAGTTTCACATGTTAATATTTCACTATAGATTAGTAATTTAGCAATTTGGGTAGTCAGGTTTTTAGGAATTTACACTGTACATCTTTAAACTGTGGGTTAATGTTTTAATTTGCATATTTATGAGGTTAAAACATCGATTAGACAAGTACAGCATACAATTTGTTTGCTTTTTTGAGTGCCTCTTCATTACATAATGTGTTTTCCTTCACTCTTTGTCATTTTTACATTTCCCTTAGATGCTGAAACAAAAGTTTCTTCAACTGTACAAAGAACATCAATATTTAATGAAGCATGAGTTGTTTAGTTTATCATTGGCTATTTATTGCAGGAAAACAAACATGCACAACATTTCAAACTTTGTTGCCATTGCAAAAGCTGTACTTCATAACCTACAGTTAAGACAAATTTGTTTGTATAGTGTTAATGTTGTAAAATGTTATAATGTTATAAAATTCATAAATTATTAAACAAATTCAAGCTGTAAAGCAGCTCTACAGAAGACAAAAGTGTCATTATTCAGCTCAATTTAGTTCAATGTTGTCTAGCAGACATTAAATTAAAATCTATATTTATAGAATATATCTGATGTATGTTTTTTTTGTGTGTTAATGCCAGTATATTGTTAACATAGCATATTGGCTCCATAAATAGAACCATGATTATGGATAACCTCGACCCGAGAGTATGGTAAATGTCATTAACATATTCCTAGTAGAGTCCACATGACCTTTATGTATAGCCTATTACGTCACTCTCCTCTCAGCCAATCAGATATGCTTATGCTCTGAATTGAGTGACACTAGGATACGGCTGGGTCAGCGTCAGGGCCTCGACGGCGTCTCCTAGCAGCAGGGCAAATGTGACGCCCTCAGCGATTGGAAGCAAAGGCTTTGCATACTGCTTTGACTGAGCAGCCAATCTATGCTCTCTGATATCACTGCAGCTCCTAGAGTGAGTGAATGTCCAGTCACGTATTCAGCCACAGAGCAGATGTGAAGCAACCTCAATCTAGACTGCAGGGACACAGCATCTGTTCTGAACTTAACTGGCCTGTTTGTTTTAAGTGATAATGGCTCCTTTCTGTGTTTAAATGTGTGTGTGGTTTGTAATGATTATTTTAAATGATCGCTACAGTGCTTATCAACATGCTCTCTCTTAATTTCTCTCTAGATTGAGAACATTGGTGTCTGTCTGAGCTTCCTAGCAGCCAAAGGTGTGAACATACAGGGACTTTCAGCTGAAGGTAAAAACACAGTTTTTAAAATGTATTTACACTTTACAGCTTCAAGTAAGATTTTATTTACAATTCGATCTTAGATAATTGCGAAATATGGGTATTTCACACTTTAAATTGTTAAGTTTCACATGTTAATATTTCACTATAGATTAGTAATTTAGCAATTTGGGTAGTCAGGTTTTTAAGAATTTACGCTGTTCATCTGTAAACTGTGGGTTGATGTTTTAATTTGCATATTTATGAGGTTAAAACATCGATTAGACAAGTACAGCATACAATTTGTTTGCTTTTTTGAGTGCCTCTTCATTACATGTGTTTTCCTTCACTCTTTGTCATTTTTACATTTCCCTTAGATGCTGAAACAAAAGTTTCTTCAACTGTACAAAGAACATTAATATTTAATGAAGCATGAGTTGTTTAGTTTATCATTGGCTATTTATTGCAGGAAAACAAACATGCACAACATTTCAAACTTTGTTGCCATTGCAAAAGCTGTACTTCATAACCTACAGTTAAGACAAATTTGTTTGTATAGTGTTAATGTTGTAAAATGTTATAATGTTATAAAATTCATAAATTATTAAACAAATTCAAGCTGTAAAGCAGCTCTACAGAAGACAAAAGTGTCATTATTCAGCTCAATTTAGTTCAATGTTGTTTCGATTCAGTTTAATAACTGTCAATGTTGTAAAGTTGATCAATTATGAAACGAGTTCAATTAAACTGTAAGCAGCTCTTTAGAGGGCAATAGTGTTCTTAATTATTCATGTAACGTAAGTCAGTTCAATTTAGTTAATTCGATAGTATCAGTGCAGTTTAATCGATAATATTACTGAATATTAATCGTCTTTTTAAGCCCCCTAAAAGTGGTGCTATCACCCTTTCAAAATTACAAGCTGCTTAAAGGGATAGTTCACCCAAAATGGAAAATTCTGTCATTAATTACTCACCCTCATGTCGTTCCAAACCCGTAAGACCTCCTTTCATCTTCGGAACACAAATTAAGATATTTTTGATGAATTCTGAGAGCTCTCTGACCCTCCCATAGACAGCAAGGGTCCTTACACGATCAAGGTCCAGAGACGTAGCAAGGAGATCAGTAAAATTATCCATGTGCTATCTGCGGTTCAACCGTAATTTTACCAAGGTACGAGAATACTTTTTGTGCACGTGGCGCAGCTGACACAGAACAGCATACGCTGTTTACGTACGTTCGGGTTTGCTTTTGCGCACAAAAAGTATTCTCATAGCTTCGTAATATTACGGTTGAACCGCTGATGTCACATGGATAATTTTACTGATCTCCTTGCTACGCCTCTGGACCTTGAATGTGTAAGGACCCTTGCTGTCTATGGGAGGGTCAGAGAGCTCTCAGAATACATAAAAATATCTTAATTTGTGTTCCGAAGATGAACGGAGGTCTTACGGGTTTGGAACAACATGAGGGTGAGTTATTAATGACAGAATTTTCATTTTTGGGTGAACTATCCCTTTAACGTAAAAAGTGACGTTAGTGTAAAAGCATATTAATGAAACAACTGTAAAATATCAAAGCAGTTGGCTTTATTGTCAGCCACTTGACTGGTATCAGTGACTGATAACTGGAAGGTTGTAGGTTCAATTCCCACAAGAAGCAAGAGTGAGGCACACAACCCCATCATGCTTTACAGGGGACTATGCTTGTAATTAGAGCTTGCCCTACTAATTACTTTGAGTGAAAAGTGTCTGCAAAATTATATAGTAAACAGCTAAATGTTTTTCCCTCACAGAGATCCGGAATGGAAATCTGAAAGCCATCTTGGGGCTTTTCTTTAGCCTGTCTCGATACAAGCAGCAGCAACAGCAGCAACAGCCGCAGACGAACAGACATATACACACGCAACACACACATTCACACGCTCCCTTAAGCCAGCAGAGCAGCGCTCCGGCCCAGCTGACCTCCACCTCGCATGGGACGCACACACACAAATCACAGCCAGAGATGCAGTCCAGGTAACATCTATCTATCTATCTATCTATCTATCTATCTATCTATCTATCTATCTATCTATCTATCTATCTATCCATCTATCTATCTATCTATCTATCTATCTATCTATCTATCTATCTATCTATCTATCTATCTATCTATCTCGGTCTGTCTATTTATCTATCCATCTAGCCATCTATCCATCTATCCATCTATCTATCGATCTATCTGTCTATCTATCTATCTCGGTCTGTCTGTCTGTCTGTCTATCTAGTGTTCTACCTAGCATTCTATTTAGCTTTCTAGCGTTCTATCTATAATGTTCTACCGTTCTATCTAATGTACATATGTTATATTGATTGTGGATTGATTTGAAGATTTGAAGCACTCTGAATGTGTCTTCATTCTCTTAGCTTTGTGATTGTGTGATGTTGTGTTAGTCATCACTGTCTGTGTTTCTGTGTTTGTCTCTTTATCTCTCTTTCTCCTCTTGTTTCTCTTGTTCTTTCAATCTAGGGATGGCTCTCAGAGTAAACTCAAGTTTTCCATTGGTCAGAAAAAGTCTTCTAGGTAGCGCTCTCACTCCCGTCCTGTCCTATCGTGTATTTCCTCTCCTGTCAACCTGCTCGTCATCACCCTCCTCTTCCTCACTTACTCTCTGCGTGTGATTTTTGTGGTCTAAATCTACTCATGTATGTGCAAGATTGTTCTGTGAAACTCAATTATTCGAACTGGCTACACAATACAATATTATTTTAATTTAATAGTATTAAATAATAATTATTATTATTTGGCTATATGTATAATACATTATAAAATATCCATTCTTACTTCAATAATGCTTTACAGTTCTAATCTCATAAATAACTGTAATAACAGTTTTAACTTAAAATAAAGAGTGTACTGCACTAATTACACCGTATTTCAGGTGTTTTATCATGTGTTGTCATATGTTGGCATTAGTGCATTACACTGTTTAAAGCATATAGATAATTTTTGTGCACTTGAATGTGTATAATAAAGTATTTTTTGGTTATTGTATAGCTAAATATTATTAAGTAGTTTAACTGTGGTTACAGTGATTTAAAAAAATATATTTAACTGAGTGCAGTTGCTAATATGAATAACTTTATAATGCATGTATATATTTAATAGATATCTATTTATTTTATTTCACAGATATATTGTTAGAAAGAGACACCTATTAAATTGATGAATAAAACCAGTTTTATTTAAAATATAAAAAAGTAATACAAAAATATCTATCCTGGTGAACTTTTCCTTGCTATCTATCTATCTATCTATCTATCTATCTATCTATCTATCTATCTATCTATCTATCTATCTATCTCGGTCTGTCTATTTATCTATCCATCTAGCCATCTATCCATCTATCCATCTATCTATCGATCTATCTGTCTATCTATCTATCTCGGTCTGTCTGTCTGTCTGTCTATCTAGTGTTCTACCTAGCATTCTATTTAGCTTTCTAGCGTTCTATCTATAATGTTCTACCGTTCTATCTAATGTACATATGTTATATTGATTGTGGATTGATTTGAAGCAGTCTGTCTCTCTGAATGTGTCTTCATTCTCTTAGCTTTGTGATTGTGTGATGTTGTGTTAGTCATCACTGTCTGTGTTTGTCTGTCTCTCTCTTTATCTCTCTTTCTCCTCTTGTTTCTCTTGTTCTTTCAATCTAGGGATGGCTCTCAGAGTAAACTCAAGTTTTCCATTGGTCAGAAAAAGTCTTCTAGGTAGCGCTCTCACTCCCGTCCTGTCCTATCGTGTATTTCCTCTCCTGTCAACCTGCTCGTCATCACCCTCCTCTTCCTCACTTACTCTCTGCGTGTGATTTTTGTGGTCTAAATCTACTCATGTATGTGCAAGATTGTTCTGTGAAACTCAATTATTCGAACTGGCTACACAATACAATATTATTTTAATTTAATAGTATTAAATAATAATTATTATTATTTGGCTATATGTATAATACATTATAAAATATCCATTCTTACTTCAATAATGCTTTACAGTTCTAATCTCATAAATAACTGTAATAACAGTTTTAACTTAAAATAAAGAGTGTGCTGCACTAATTACACCGTATTTCAGGTGTTTTATCATGTGTTGTCATATGTTGGCATTAGTGCATTACACTGTTTAAAGCATATAGATAATTTTTGTGCACTTGAATGTGTATAATAAAGTATTTTTTGGTTATTGTATAGCTAAATATTATTAAGTAGTTTAACTGTGGTTACAGTGATTTAAAAAAATATATTTAACTGAGTGCAGTTGCTAATATGAATAACTTTATAATGCATGTATATATTTAATAGATATCTATTTATTTTATTTCACAGATATATTGTTAGAAAGAGACACCTATTAAATTGATGAATAAAACCAGTTTTATTTAAAATATAAAAAAGTAATACAAAAATATCTATCCTGGTGAACTTTTCCTTGAATTTATTTGGCCAGACAGAATATGTGGACTCTGCCAGGTGACGTTACCCAAAAACATGTCCCAGTGGAAATGTCTGCGCAGTGAGCTGTGATAACTTTAAAATAACCGCTCTGTGTGATGCCCTGCTTGAGTATGAGATTAATTATTAATTGTGGTGTGTGTGATAGAAAGGTTGAGGTTGTAATTTTGGTTTCAGTGAATGATGTGTTCGTGCTGTAAATGCATTTCAAATGCAAACGTGTGATGTGTTTCAGATAACTACACTAAAAATACTATGAATCACCTTATTCAAAATTCCCAGTTTGAATATTGGCCCAGTCTTCAATTTTCCACCATTAATTTTTGGCAACACGTGACACAATATTGCCATCTAATGGTGGATAGTTATAATTGCAGATAAGCCTTCCGCAGAAATGAGATGTATTTTAGGCCAGAAGGAAAATAAAGAGAGAGGAAAAATATCTCTCTACCACATTACTATTTTCCATACTTATGAGAAAATGTCAAGGCCACACAATAGACAGCAATGTGATTAGCATATGTCACTACAGATGTCCTTGTACTTTACATGGCATTTACCTAGATTTGATTGTTAGGTGAGATTTGTCTATTTGTCTGTCAGTCATGAAGGCACTGAAGGCTAGGACTGATGGAGAAATGTCACATTAGAAATAAATGCATTGTTGACTAAGGGTTATTAATTGTTGCATTGCTTACAAGCACAAAATACTATTTGCTACCTAAGTGGTTCTGCTGGAGGGATTCGCTGTTGATGTATTGAGCAGATCCTCTGTCATTTTGTGTAAATAAAAAAGCACACCAAAGCAATTTAAAGTGTTTTTGCTGTTGGGGAGAGGAGATGTGTTTTCTTTTTTCAGCTTTATTAACTGAGAAAGGCACAAACATTCTTTTTTTTTATTTTTATAAAAAACTCTTTAGGCATTAAACAGCCATCTAGCAACCACTCAGAATGCATTAGCAACCCCCTGGCAAGCACCAGCAACACCTGAACACAAGTTCTGCTCCGGCAAGAAGCACACACATTTTCTTCAGAAGTCTATTTGTCTGTCAGTCATGAAGGCACTGAAGGCTAGGACTGATGGAGAAATGTCACATTAGAAATAAATGCATTGTTGACTAAGGGTTATTAATTGTTGCATTGCTTACAAGCACAAAATACTATTTGCTACCTAAGTGGTTCTGCTGGAGGGATTCACTGTTGATGTATTGAGCAGATCCTCTGTCATTTTGTGTAAATAAAAAAGCACACCAAAGCAATTTAAAGTGTTTTTGCTGTTGGGGAGAGGAGATGTGTTTTCTTTTTTCAGCTTTATTAACTGAGAAAGGCACAAACATTCGTTTTTTTTATTTTTTATAAAAAACTCTTTAGGCATTAAACAGCCATCTAGCAACCACTCAGAATGCATTAGCAACCCCCTGGCAAGCACCAGCAACACCTGAACACAAGTTCTGCTCCGGCAAGAAGCACACACATTTTCTTCAGAAAATGTAAGAATCTCGCTGTTGATATTTCTGCTCTCTCGCTGTGACAGATTACCTGGCCCCACCTCGAGGATGTCCACTGCGGGCAGTGAGAGTTCTCCTCGAGGGTCCATCAGTTCAGCAGGGAATCGCCGCAGTCAGGTGTTCAGTGATAAAGCCAAACCTGCAGCAGCTCAGGCCAAAGGTAAGCCCAACTTCACAGTCTTTAAGGTGAAGTGACCTCTGAATTGAAACATTACTCATAATCTCATCTGAAAATGGCAGGTCAAGATTTCATTAAAAATGATTTTGTGTTACAGTCGGCTTGTGAATATTAAAGAGTTTCCCTCTGACAGATTTGAACACATTTATCTCTACAGTGTCCTTCCAGTTTTTATATTATCTGTAATTTTATCATGCCAGGGGAAAAAAAAGTGTCAATTTTCTGTATTTTATTTATTCAAAAAATGCTGACTGGCTGCAGCCCCTGGCAATGTTTAAAGAAAATGAGATAATAAAAAAGATAGTCTAAGGAAAGATTCTGAAGGACTGGAAGAAAACGGTGTCTCATGTTTTAGCTATGTAGGGCAAGATTTGTGATATGAATGAGGTAATATGTTTATGGTTTCTTTCTTTCTTCGAATTCAATTTCTTTTGTCATTTGTATTTTAAACAGTAATGGTGCAGTCTTCTCCATTTAAAGTAAAAGTTATGGAGCTAGTCTTTATTTACTCTGTGGACTGTGTGCATGTACACATCCTTTCAAATGTTTGGTGTGTGTAAGATTTTTTTTTAAATCGATATTAGTACTTTTATTCTGCGAAGATGCATTAAATTGTATTAAATTGAAATTGAAGTCGCAGTAAAGACATTTATAATGTTCTTTGGACCTTTCTGTTCATCAAAGAATCCTGAAAAAAACATATGTTATACACAAAAAATAGCTTAACTTTTTTAAACATGGATAATAATGAGATATGTTTCTTGAGCAGCAAATCGGCATCTGAAGGATCATGTGACCCTGAGGACTGAAAAATTTAGCTTTGCCATCACAGGAATAAATAACATTTTAAAATGTATTAAAATAGAAAACAGTTCTTTTAAATTGTAAAAATATTTCACAGATTAAATAAATGCAGTCTTAGTGAGACTTCATAAACGTCATCTTCTTCTTCAAAAAAAAATCTTACCAACCGCTTTTGAATGGTACTGTACCGTATATATTTTGTGCATTTACAAGAACAATGTCTAGGTGTAAAATGTGGCTCTTGGTTAACGTTATCCAGTAACCCACATGGCCTATATGAAGTCAGCAGAAAACAAAAGTTAACTTTCTAGAGGAAGGTATTGCATTTGAATAATTTTCTGGAGTAATGTGCGCTGGTGAATTATGCACCATGAGATAAACCGGGTCAATTTTGAGTTCATGTTGACTTTAAGCGGTCACTGTGTTAAAACATACCAACCACATTTCTGTGCTCTGTGACGGAGCTGTGCTGAGTTTGGAGTAGTTAATGTAGCAGTCAGTGCTGGAAATAACTGCTTATAATGACTTTGAGTGAAGCTAGTCACACAAACCCTAGCTGAGATGTTTGAAAGATGTTGCCGTACGTGTGTGTGCGTGGTACTGGCTTTCAAAGCAGAGTGAGCGAAGCGAAGGAAATTTCTGCATTAATTGAGCCCTAATTAGTGTGTTTTGGCTCTGAGAATGTGGTGGCAGTGAAAGAGAGACGGAGGTTTCCACAGTGTCATGCTTTAGGCAATTTATTCTGTTTTTCTGTTTTTCCACTGCATGTTGTGTACATATTCCTAAGTATTAAATTGAGTGAAGCATTTGAAAGAAAAAAAATTCAAAGCAGAAAAAATGTATGTATTCAAACTGTATGCCCATGTTCACTTTTTAAGAGTATTTGCTTGAATAATCTGACTTTTGAAGCAGTTGAAGAGTTCAGATGTTTTGGTCTTGTGACAGTGAAAGTTAGTAAATGGTGTCAGCCGACTGATTCTCCCATAATGCATTTAGCTCTGTTATTTTGTGTGTGACCTGCTTAATGCAAAGCAGAGTGAGAATGTGAATCACAGAGCAAAGGAGCACAACTCTTCTGTGTGTGTGCCATCATTTTGTCACTGTTGAAACCGATACAAGCCTGTCACTGTGTTAAAACATACCAACCACATTTCTGTGCTCTGTGACGGAGCTGTGCTGAGTTTGGAGTAGTTAATGTAGCAGTCAGTGCTGGAAATAACTGCTTATAATGACTTTGAGTGAAGCTAGTCACACAAACCCTAGCTGAGATGTTTGAAAGATGTTGCCGTACGTGTGTGTGCGTGGTACTGGCTTTCAAAGCAGAGTGAGCGAAGCGAAGGAAATTTCTGCATTAATTGAGCCCTAATTAGTGTGTTTTGGCTCTGAGAATGTGGTGGCAGTGAAAGAGGTTTCCACAGTGTCATGCTTTAGGCAATTTATTCTGTTTTTCTGTTTTTCCACTGCATGTTGTGTACATATTCCTAAGTATTAAATTGAGTGAAGCATTTGAAAGAAAAAAAATTCAAAGCAGAAAAAATTTATGTATTCAAACTGTATGCCCGTGTTCACTTTCTAAGAGTATTTTCTTGAATAATCTGACTTTTGAAGCAGTTGAAGAGTTCAGATGTTTTGGTCTTGTGACAGTGAAAGTTAGTAAATGGTGTCAGCCGACTGATTCTCCCATAATGCATTTAGCTCTGTTATTTTGTGTGTGACCTGCTTAATGCAAAGCAGAGTGAGAATGTGAATCACAGAGCAAAGGAGCACAACTCTTCTGTGTGTGTGCCATCATTTTGTCACTGTTGAAACCGATACAAGCCTCATCTGAGATGACATAAGTCAAGAGAGTGTTGGGAAGAGATTTACAGTTTCAACATTTTAAAGCAGGCAAGAAAAAACTTGCCTTTTATAGAGTTTGAAATCAATTTTCTAGACTGGTAAGTAAGTTTAAATTCACTGATGTAAACAGTTGTATTTGTATAGTTGTGATTTATGCAATTTTGTGCAGTTTTATTTTATTTTCCCATCCATCGTTTACTCACCCTCATGTTGTTCCAAACCTGTCTGACTTTGTTTCTTCTGTGGAACATGAGAAAAAAATCTATTTTAAAGAATGTTGGTGACCAAACACTTCCTATTGATTCCCATTGACTTTCATTAAAAAAAAAAAACAGTGGAAGGGCAATGGGAACTGAAACTGTTTTCTTATCAATATTGTTCAAAATATACTCTTCTGTGTTCCTTAGATGGAAGAAGGTGAATACAGGTTTGGAACAACATGAAGATGAGTAAAATGTTCATTTTTGGGTGAACTATTGCCTTATGGTTCATATTCTGTTTAAGCCTTTATTTACAGCAATTGCTGTATTTGTGTATAATGTTGGATTATTGAAATATTAGGCATGTTTACATGATGATTACAAGATCTCAATATGACCAATAACAATTGGAATTTTCTTGTGCATGTAAACATGACTGTATTCAATAACAGAGAAAAAAAAACCCTGTCAGAGGTGCAGTATGAAACAGGCATGATGAGTTTATTGGTGGGCTCTCGTGGGGTGGTCATCTCTCTACCGTGGAGAAATAATCACTTAAATATGGACGTTAAGAGGAACTGAGAGGGTCCACAAACCCTGAGGGCAGAACATTGCTTTAGAGTTTCCTAATGATATTAGGGCGACAGCGAGATTATTTCTGTCTAAAGTTTTGCAGTTCATTGTCATATGGTCTGTTTCTGGACAGCAACTGCTCAGCTTTTTCTCTCTCAACTTTCATCTCTATAACTAAGGTCTTTTTTCCCCCGACCTATCCCCTTCTCGGCCCCTCTCTTTCCTCTCTCTACCTATTGGAAGTCATTAGTGGTCTGACCCACTTCTCTTTGGCTGGCATGGCTAATTGGACCTTAATCACTTCCTAATTGCCGCTTTGTTTCTGTGCCGCTCATTAAATGCCAAACTGAATGAGATGGGAATGGTGTTTTTCCCCTCATGTCAGATTGTTTAATGAAACATACAGATAAAAAATAAATGCTGAACCTGAAAAATAATAAAACATTTGAGTGTAAACAGTTGATTTTTAGTCAGAATTGGCTAGCAAAACCTTTACATTCAGTCTTAACTTAAGTGCTTGCCAAAAGTTTGTAGCTGATATTTTGATTCTGTTTAAAATGATATAAATCTGAATAAACGGCACATTAAGTATCTGTGAGAAACATCCGGTACTTCAACTAGGCACTCAGTGGGATAAATCTATAGGTTTTTTATATCTGTTCTGCTAGATCTCATTTGAAATGTGCAGCATTAGTATATGCTCAGATGTTTTTAGAGATGTTTCGTTTAGAGTTTTTGGGCACTTCAGGTCTTTTTTTTCTGGGACTGGACCACCGGCCGAGTGACAGAGTGAATATGTTGAGCGTGATCTAGAGGCTCAGAGGGAGGGGGCTGGACACAGGGAGAAGTCGCCAATGTTTGCAGTTAGAGTTTTATTTGCAGTGTATATCCTGCGAGTGAACACGACTATTGAGACTCTACAGGCTGGACTGACGTGAAACCAGCTCACTTTAACAAATGGAGCTGCCAGGTGAATGAGAGACAGATAACATGCTGATTTCATTTTCATTTTTTTGTTTTTCTTTGCTTTTTTGTAAACAGCTTTTTTTACTGCAGTGGAGAGGAACATTTTCAGTTTGTTTGTTTTTTCATGATTATAATTTACACTTTTGGAATATTTCATGTGAACAATACATGTCATTCTGCAAGGTTTGGCTAAATTTACCATTTGTTTTCAAGGACTTATTTATAACTCTGTGCTAAAATTCACATCTGTTTATTTAATCAATTTACACTGGCTATTTATAGATTTTCATTCTTTAATAATATTTCAGTTTTTGTATGATTGTGTTTGGATCTTCATGTCCTTTATTCCTTTATTTCCTTTATTTAAAGGAAGTTTTGATTGTCTATGTCACAGAGAGCACAATAGCTAAATTTGGCCTCCAGTGTTTGAATGGGCATTAAAGTCTTACTCGCTGTGTTAGTGTAAACAGTTTAGAATCGATCTCAGCAGGCTGTCTGCTGCTTACTATAAGAATAGCATTAGCTCAGGAGTAACTAGCCTTTTATGGGCAGGGAGAACAGTTTCAAAATTTTCAGACCTTTTCTCCTGGTTTTTTTTTAGCCTTTGATTTAATCTACTTTAATTTTCACTCTTATTTCCCTTAACTGTTCTTCTTCCACAACATCCATTTGGTTTTCAGATCTGATTTTTAGGGCTGACTGTTCATCAGTGTTGTTGTATCTGTTATTATAGTAATGATGTATGTGTCAGCATACATGTCTTTCTCATATATGATGTTATGTGTTCCGTAATGATGAAAAACAACTATTTGACTCGCAAAAATGAGATTTGAATTGCATTTCAAAACATATCGATGCGGTGTGTCTGCAAAAATGCATGGATGTAAATGTAACTGAATAAAGTTTAAGTAGTAAGATTACTAAAAGTGAAATAAAAATAGATTAAAGTTAAATGGAATGTTAAAAAGAACACAAAAAGACAGAAGTGCATACAAAAACTAAAATTAATACTAAACATGGGATATAAACCATCTCTTGACCTGCCCATTTTTATAGAACAATGTTAATTATTATTATTATATATATTTTTTGGTATATTTTGTGTTGCCTTGCTGTGTGGTTTTCATGTATTTCATATGTTATGTATTTTTTTCTTTCATTTTGCTGGCCATCTTGACCAGGACACTCTGGAAGAAAATATATTTTATTTCAATGGGACCTTCCTGGTTAAATAAATGAGAAAAGAAAAGAAAACAAAATAAAAAATATGAACAAATATATATGAGCAATATCACTCGAGTACGAGAGCGATACCGGCTCTATGTCAGCATGGCTGTGATTAGGCCAGAGGCACGAGTCCGCAGGCAATCACAGCCGCTGCTGATACAGAGCCGCTATCGCTCGAGTACGAGAGTGATATTGCGTTTATACAACTATTTGATGGAACATGTGTGTAATTAAACAAGAAACAACAGAGTGCCTTTTGTGTGGAACTACTTCCTTCCGCCACGGATTCAAAGCTCAAGTTGACAGTTAAACATACGTCACTTTTAGAAATCGTATCAAGGGCATGTGCTGCTTCAGTTAGGTTAGTGAGAAATAATGAGGTTTTAAGAGAGAAACAATGCGGCAAGACGTGCATCCAAATGAGAGAGAGAGAGACCGCGAAGCTAGACTGATTAATGTGCATGCGTTTTTATTTTCAGATTTATAGGTCTGACTTGACAAACATTTTTATTAGTTTAGTCAAACCATTGCGTGCAATTACAACAAATAAGTAATTGAAACATTTCCAGCATCTTACGCAACATTAACATTTATACAAAAAGGCTAGTTAATAGGTTAAACAGCTGATATTTTTCCCTCAAAAAAGTAATCAGCATTTCACAAAATAAAATAGATATTTATATATGTTTTGTTCCTAAGTTTTGAGTTTTTCTCAAAGTCAGGTTTATTTTATTTTACAAAAAAAATAATGTCATAAGCATGTCATAAAATATATTATTTATGTATTTTAGTTTTTCATTAAACAATTACAATTTGCTCAAAATCTATTACATTTCTGATTTACAGCGAGTGATGGTTCTCGGAACCACTGTTCACATTTATTTGTACGTTGCCGCATATCGTACATTCTTTGTTGTTGTTCTGGTATGGTTTCCGTTTGATCTGATGCTAGTACTGCACTCCAGCATTTTCTGTTGTTTAGTGATGGTCTCCAGTAGGATTTCAGTGAGCTTTCTGACCTAAAAATGTTTTTTTAAATTATAAATTTTGCTAAATTATATAATTAATTTTGCATCATTTCATTTCCACTGTAGGCTATGGGTTAAACAAATCAGAAACATACCTGTGTCCGCTGACGGCTATGATTTCTCTCGCTTGGAGCCCTGCATCAGACAAATTTTGGATTGCAGTGGCCCTGATGCTGTGGTTCGTGTAGTACGATCGCGTCCCAGCTTCTTTGCACATTCTCGGGAGCATTTGTGACAGCTGATTAATGCCCAAAGGAACAGTGCTATACCATATCTTGTCGTTAGCTTCAAGTCTCCTCTTAGGGTGCAGATAGAGTGCTTTTGCGTCAGGTGGGAGTTTGCTGAGATATTTCTCTAGCGAAGAAACTGGACACATGGGGTTACCGGGCTCTTCAAACATAGCACCCCTCCGATTTTCCCTGTCGACCTCTGGTGGGTTTTTGTGGTTTTTCATTTCCTCATTAGATGTCAACGTGAAATATTTTGTACCATTTTCGTCTCTCTTTAGTTCAAACGAGTCTGGCATAAGTTGTCGATTGCCCTCCTTCCCTCTTCGTGCAAAGTGTAACTGAATGTCATACCACAATTTATAATAAACCTTTCGGGTTACCAGGGTCAAGTGCAGCAGATCGCTTCAGTATTTGCTGGTCTTCAGATGAAATCGGAGGGTAGTGTGATGTTCTGTCTGTACCGGATCAACTCCTTTAAAAACGTTTTTGGCGGACGTAAACTCAGGGTCTTGCATTAAATTCCATGCACGGCTAAGAGGAGGTTCATTAATGTGGCGATTCAGCGCCGATCGAAGACTCAAGTAACTGCTGATACCATACAGTTCTCCTTTACTGGTCCTAATGGAGCCATAGAAATCGCGCAAAACTGAGCTCATTTGGGATTTCTCGATGTGTTTGAGGTAGATATTGAGCTTTTTTTCGGATAACCATGATTTAAAACAGTTCACAGCCCACACTGTTTGCCGCACCGTGTTATTTTCATGTCTGTTTTTTTCTAAATTGTTCAAATCTGCAGGTGTAATGGCTGCACCTCTTGCTGTTTGGCCTTTTAGTGATTCCACTGCATCTTCATCGTCTGTTGAGCTTTCGTAGTTAATGTGTCGTTTGCCATGTTTCTTTCTTCTTATATTAACTAACGGACTCTACAATTAGCTCAGTGAATAATTAAAAAGAAACATAGACCCGGCTAGAACAAGCGGAGTGATACAAAATTGTGAAAGGGTGTTCCTGTAGCGATACCAGTACAATATCTCACGGTTCTCAACCAATCAGATTTGAGAACCAGAACGAACTGTTGTATAATAGTATATAAACTAAAATAACATTGGACCATTCAAACTAAAACACATTTCTGATTTTAAGTAGATTAAAAATCAGATTTTAATTCAATTTCAGATTTCATTTAAGTATGGTACAGATAAAAAAAAAAACGAATTTGATGATTTCATGTGTATTTTGCTGTGAACTGCTGTTAACTCCTTCTCCCACATATGCAGTCCAACTTTCTCCATGATTATTTTAACCTGTCTCTCTGATTTTCCTGTGTTTCACCGTCACCTCTCATGTCTTTTCCTCTCCAGAATCATCAGAGTGTGTCACCTCACACGGCGTGACTGAGCACACTCTGTCATCCCTGGCATCCGCCTGCACCTCTGTTAACACCAGCACTGTGGCATCTTCATCTTCATCTTCATCGTCAGCCATCCCCCAGCCCAACTCGAGTAGCAAACCCTGGAGAAGCAAATCTCAGAGCACCAAGCACACTGCTACCTCCACCGCTCCCTCCACGGTGGTTTCCATCAAACCAGATCCCCAAGCCAAGCAGCCCGTGCCTGTAGAGCCACCACCAAAAGCTGTGCCTCAGAAGTCCATGCTGGAAAAACTAAAACTTTTCAACAGCAAAGGTGGCTCCAAGTCATCCACGCCAGCAGAGGGCGCCGTTACGCCAGCAGGAGGAAAAGATGCCGGTTTGGTTTTAGAAAGAGTCGGGGCTGGTTCCAATACAGAACCCATTGAGGAAATGGATGGTAACGTCAGACCCACGAATGGATCGAGTGCTATTACCATGACAACCAGCAGCCCAAAGATTGCGTTAAAGGGCATTGCACAGCGGACACTTAGCCGGGCGCTCATGGCGAAAAAAGCCTCAACTAAATCCGTAGAGAAAGAAAAGGAAAAAGAACGAGCTAAGGAGAAAGACAAAAACGGGAAAGAGGGCTCAAAGCGTGTCCCTGCCTCGGAAAAGGTAGAGAACAAAGAGGAAGTTAAGGAGGAAGTTGTTCCCTCAAGCAAGGCTGCTCCCTCCGAGGCAGAGCCCAGGAAAGCCTCCAAGATCGCCAGTTTTATACCCAAAGGCGGCAAGGTGGGAGGTACCAAGAAAGATAGCTCCGCCCCTGTGCAAAGTGGAATTCCAAAACCAGGAAGTAAAAACTCAGGAAATGGAGCAGTAAAGAGTTCAGCGTTGCCCCTCGGTGGTAAAGACAATGAGAGACCCCGCAGTATGCGTCTGGGAGAGGGTCTGGGACTTCATAGGGACAGCCGGCATTCCTCGTCCTCTTCCAGCCTGGCTTCCACTGAGGGGAAAGGACACCACAGCGCCGCCCCGTTGGCCAATGGAACACATTCTACAGCCAGCAACACAGTCAGTGTGCAGCTGCCTCAACCCCAGCAGCAGTACAGCCACCCCAACACAGCCACCGTAGCACCCTTCATGTACAGGTGAGACTCTTATTGGGATTTTCAACTGGAGCTTTAGATCGAAGGAGAGGCTCGAGCCAGATCTAGAGATCATAAGGGGCTCATTTGACTTGGACCAGTAAGCAACCACCAAGTAACCAGTGTTATTATTGTTAACTAAAACTAAATAAAAAATGTAAAATAAACTGAAATAAAATAAAACTGATATAAAAATAAATAAATAAATCAAAATAGAAATATCTGAAAAAATAATATAACAAATGTTTCCTTGGCAACTAACTAAAATAAAATGTTTAATCTGAAATACTGAAATTACTAGAATTAAAACAAAAATAAATAGACTAAATAGGTTAAATAGAAATATTTTTAAAAAGCTAATAAAGTGACAAATTACTAAAACTTAAACTAAAATTTAAATGAATACTGAAGATTTAGAAGTATAAGCTAATTCAAAATATGATTAAATACTATAATAGTATAGAAATAATATTAAAATAGCATTGCTAGTAATGACCAAAAACCCAGCAACCACATAGCAATTTGCTTAAAATCTTTCACAGCACCTTGACAACTGCATAGCAACCTCCTGACAACCACCCAAAACATTCATACAATCACATGCCTTCATGCTAAAAACCACGTAGAACACCTTAATAACAACATAGCATAAGTTGGTATAGTTTTGTACTGTAAAAAAAAAAAAAAAAGTCTTTATGCATGTATTATTGTACATATTAGATAAAGTGCCAAACTCATGGCAAAGCAGAAGCAGAATTGTACTCTACTATTTGTGTTTAGTTTATGAGAATGGCTCTAGTAAGTGTGCATGCGTGCTCACGTGTATCGACTCCCCGTCAGGCTCAGCTGTGAAGCGTTTGACTGGTATTTCCTTTGAAACAGACCTATTGCCCTGTGTTTGGTTTCCATGAAGGATTCCTTTAGTCAGGCCATGACGTCTGCTGACTAGAATGTCACAGAAAATATCATATGTATGCATCTATATGAAGGACATCTTTTTTTATTTTGAACCCCTGTGTTTTTAGGTCTCAGAATGAGGCAGATGGAAACATTGGCACAAACCCAAGCTCTGGATGTTGTAGTAATGACTCCAGTAGCTTCAGTAAGATCAACCAGTCTTCTACTGAGGACCTGTCAGGTAACCTGTTCAGTTCATATCTGATGAAGTCTAAAACATTGATCTGGTAGTCTAAGACCTTTTCCTGTTGGCAGTAATAATAATCAATGCATAATTTTAATAAAATAAGAGAAGTATTTAAGATTGATATTGATGATGATTTTCTGAAGTTTAAATCAAGCAATGCATCTATATGAAGGACATCTTTTTTATTTTGAACCCCTGTGTTTTTAGGTCTCAGAATGAGGCAGATGGAAACATTGGCACAAACCCAAGCTCTGGATGTTGTAGTAATGACTCCAGTAGCTTCAGTAAGATCAACCAGTCTTCTACTGAGGACCTGTCAGGTAACCTGTTCAGTTCATATCTGATGAAGTCTAAAACATTGATCTGGTAGTCTAAGACCTTTTCCTGTTGGCAGTAATAATAATCAATGCATAATTTTAATAAAATAAGAGAAGTATTTAAGATTGATATTGATGATGATTTTCTGAAGTTTAAATCAAGCAAGAAATTGAGGGCATTTTTTTTTGTTTGTTTGTTTTGTTTTTTAAAGAAGTCTCTTATACTCACCTAGGCTGCATTTATTTGATCAGAAACAGTAAAAAGTGTGTAGACAGATAAATCATCTATTCATGTGATGGTAAAGCTGAATTTCAGCAGCCATCAATCAATGTTGAAAACATTTGTTAGGATTATTTGATGAATAGAAAGTTCAAAAGAAGAGCATTTATTTGAAATGGAAATCTCTTGTAACATTAGAAACTCCTTAACTGTTACTTATGATTAATTTAATGCATACTTGCTGAATAAAAGCATTAATAACTCTTTTAAAAACAAAATCTTACCCTAAACTGCTGAACAGTGTTTAAATACTGATATATGATATAAAAAGTGAAAATGAATGCCCTATTTTCAGGTGAAGATCCAGAGACCAGACGACTGAGAACTGTGAAAAATATTGCTGACCTGCGGCAGAATTTAGAGGAGACCATGTCAAGTTTGCGGGGGACACAGATCACACACAGGTAGATGCTTCTATTTCTTACTTTTCACAGCCTGGTGCAGTAGGATAACTTTAAGAAAGAAAGCAGCTAAGATAGAGAAGAAGACAGTTTTTTGGTGAACCATGAAGCCAGCTTTATCAGTGAGGAAAAAGCATATTATTCTCCTAAACCTCCACCCAAATCAAACTGGCAAAGACAGGCTGCCTTAAAAGGACACTTTTTTTCTCATAGTATTTTATCTTTTGAGACAGTAACAAGTAGCCACTCCTTCCTCAGCTTGACTCTTTTTACTGTAAATGGCTAAATGAATAGAGTCTGTCCACTGGCTCCACCATGCTCTTTAAAACCTTCTTTGTTCCTCTTTTTTGATTATTCATCTAATTGACCCAGACTGCATTGCTATGATGGAATCATGAAGTAATTGTAAACTGCTTAATAAGTCCATTTTTGGCCAAAATAAGAGCAGTGAGACATTTTTGTTCCCCTACGGTGTCAGGCTATTGGTTACAATTCCTCAGCACTATGTATAAAATCTTTCCTCATATTATAAGTTAAGTAAATATTGTAATTGAATACTGTTTGGTGAAAAATACCATGGCAACTGTAGTTTCCTGGAATTAACTATACTACAACAGCCTACAAATGTTGGTATAACTTTAGTACTAAAAATAACTAATACCATGGTATTTTTGCAGAAACTATAGATATGTACCATGGTATAACTTTTGATACAATGGTACATTTTAGTTTGAAAATGTCATATGAATTTGATTTCTCAAAATCTCAGTACACTGGAGACCACTTTTGATGGTGGTGTTACTACTGAAATGAGCAGTCGCAGCATCCTCAGCATGGCATCTCGACCCACGCCGCTGTCCTGGGCCAGTCGCATGGGCCAATCCAGCCCCCGTCTACAAGCAGGAGATGCTCCCTCTGTTGGTAACGGCTATCAGTCCCGCAGCGGAGGTGTGTCGTCCGGCCAGGGCCGGTATCTGTATCAGGCTCCTCTACGGAAGCAGCTGGCAGCACGCGGCAGCGCCCTCTGTGGTCTGGAGCTGGGAGACAGGGCGGAGGATCTGGAGCTGGCAGGTGTGGGGCTGGAACTGAGCGGCTACATGAGTGATGGAGACGTGCTGGCTAAGAACGCACGCACTGATGAGCTGACCAGCGGGTAAGTGTGGAAGATGGTTGCCACTGGTTAAGACAGATGACTAATGGGGTTTTTCAATGGCTGATAATTATGGGCGTTGTCTGAATGTAGTTTAGTGGAGATGAAAGGAAATGAAAAGGCAGTTTAAAGGTGCACATCGTAATTTACACAAGTGGTAATTCTTTGTTGGTCCTAGAAAAGCATTATTATTAAACAATTATTGTGTCAATTGTGTCAAAAAATTGCCTAAAGGGAGCAGATTTGGTGTAAATATATTTCTATTAAAGGTCAGTTGAGTTTACTGTAATTAGTGTTGTCATGTTCATAGATTTGGATATGGCATGACACTTATGAACTGAATCATGCTTTCGAGAACTTCTCAAAGTGGATATTTTTAGTCTGGTTTTATTGCAGTGTTTGCCACTAGAGGGTAATATGATTCTCTAAATATGAATTCATATGTTCTTTTCTTAGGTCTAATGCATTTTCATATTGATATTACAAATCAATGCATGACTACCAGGGCCAGAAATTAACTTTTTCATTTAGGGGCAATATTTGCCTCCTGGAATTGATATCCAGGGGCTTTTTTAACCTTTGTAAGGACAGTGTTTTTTTTTTTGTAGTTGTTTTTTTACCTCATTAAATGTATTGGGCAGAGTTAACCAATTTCTACATTTAGGCTTTGTTTTGGTAAATGCACAAATTCAGAAGAGGATATACCATTTAAAAGTTTGGGGGTCATAAGATTTTTTAAACAAGTCATTTATAATCACCAAGGCTGTATTTATTTGAAGAAGAAAAAAAACTGTAAAAACATTTAACATTTAAGTAAACACAATATTGTGAAATATTATTAGAAATTAAAAATGCTTTCTATTTTAATATATTTTAAAATGTCATTTATTCTTGTGATGGCAAACCTGAATTTTTCATTACTCCGGTCTTCAGGGTCACATGATCCTTCAGAAATTCTAATATGCTGATTTGATGCTTAAGAAGCATTTATTTTTATTACCAATGTTGTGCAATTCAAAAGAACAGCATTCGTTTGAAAGACCATTTTTTTTGCAACATTATGAATGTCTTTTAATCAATTTGATGCATCCTTCCTGAATAAAATTAATCAATTTCTTTAAAAAAATGTATTAAACTCAAACTTTTGTATGGTACTGTATTTTGCTAACATATCATCATATAATAGTAGATGTTTGCCTTTTAAAGGGAAACATTTTTTTTGCGCTCTTAAAGGGATAGTTCACCCAAAAATGAAAATGATTTTATCTCCCTCAAGTTGCTCCAAATCTTTATGAATTTCTTTCTTCTGTTGAATACAAAAGAAGATAGTTTGAAGAATGTTGGTTACCAAACAGTTGCTGGTAGCCATCGACTTCCATAGTATTTGTTTTTATTATTATTATTTTTATTTATTTATTTTTCCCATACTATAGAACTGTTTGGTTACCCATATTCATCAAAAAATGTCATTTTTGAGTGAACTATCCCTTTAAACTCTGAAACGGATTTATACTTTTTCCTCTCTGTTGCCTTTACTTCAAAGCTCAGGATAGACACTAGAGAAGGATTTAGGTCTTTGTGTGTTTTTATGGTTGCGTCAGTGTGAATCAGCGTTGTCCTGATTTACTGAGTCAATTCTCACGGGTAGATTTGAATCCAATTGCATTTCAGATACACCTATGACGTCTTATGACGCAGGTGAACACATTAAATCAATGAATACTGTCACCTTGCAGCTCTGGCCCTTCAGGCAGTAATAAAAGCGGTTTTAGTGCATGTGCTCTTTCTTGTACTGAGTGTACAGATTGAAGGGGCAATGAAACACATTTGACGCCCCCTTCATGCTGAAACAAGCTCTCTGCATACCTTGGCTGTGATAATGTGCAATTTAAACCTCTTGTGTTATTTCCCCACAATCACAGTCTTCCTGTGTGGCTTGAACACTACAAACCGTTCTGGTGCTTCTAACATTACCAGATTACAGAGAACAGGCCAGGTGACAGGCTGCAATTACACCTGGCCATAAGCCTGACGTCTGAATGCAAAATATCACTTAGATGTTAATTAATAAACGTCCGACAAAATCCAGGCATCAAAATCCTGTCAAATTCGCTGTTTCGCCTGTCTTATGGGTGCTATTGTAATTGTGACATTTTGAAAGTGAAGTCCTTAACACTGACACTGGAAAAAAAGGGATTCCCAGTGAGTGTGCTTTGATAAATGTCTCTTAAACTAGTGGATCTCCAACACAATTGATGATGCCATGAGCATTGAGGGAAGTGAGATTGGTATTGCAGGGCTATATAGATCTTGAAGTGCACTAACATGTTTGAACCAGATCACTCACGGAAAGAGGCTCTCATGATGCTGGTGTTGGATCTGATTTCCTAGGTCCCAAAGTGGTTGTTTTCACAGTGCAATCAGGACTGACGGGTTAAAAGACTCGCTGTAGACGTTCACCCCAGGCTGCTCTATATATGAACACATACAGGTTGAGCTAATATGATCTCCTTCCTCTATTCATGACGGCACTTTGATAATGGAGAGACAGGTTTGTCACATTACATCATATGTATCGTGCTGAACTGAATATGCTGTTTAGGTAAAAGAGGCTTTTATTACTGACATTGTGGTTAGAGCATCTGTGAGGCTGCTGAGATTTCTGTAAAGCAAATAATCATCTGAAATAAGATGGAATCTTGCCACTGGTTAAAGTTTATTAATAACATATAGGCGTAGTCTTGCATAAGCTGAGGGCATTTAAAGCCTTTAGTTTGTTTGGTCTTTGTGCAGCTGTATTGGTGTTTGTTCACAAATGGTTTTGCTTTAGTAGGTCAGAAAACGCATGCTAAGAGCTTGATGTTCCTCTCCAAACACAGATTATACAGTAGCTGTCAGATCATGAATACTTTATATCACCAGGTCTTGTTTACACAGAAACACACACATTCAGTATGCATGATAACCAATTAGAAGATTGTCTCAAAACTAATTTTTTTTTTTTTCATATTCAGGTTTTTGGGATTTTTAAAAAATAATTTAAAACTATTATTATATTTTATATAGGCTGGTGTTTTGCATTTGAATTTGATCTATTTTATTTTTTTTAAAGATTTTTATTGATTTAAATACTTTTTATTCCTTTATTTCATCAACATTTCACAAGATAAAAAGAAAATGAATTATCTGTAGCATAGATTTGGGATCATAGAGATTTTTTCATAGTCATTTTTCGAATTTGAATTCGAATTCAAGTTCTTGACTTAATGTTTCATAATGTAATATAATATATTCATATATAATATAATGTAATGTAATTTATCGAATTATTTTACCTGTCCTGGAACAGCAAGAATTTATTTTCATATCATTTTCATGAAATTTTATATATATATATATATATATATATATATATATATATATATATATATATATATATATGTGTGTGTCCTGTGTTTTGGCAAATTGAACATCTGATGGATTTGTAACACTGAAAGGTATGTCAGTCATTGTTGTGAACTTGAATTATTGTTACCAAGTGACCATTAATGCTTTTAGAGATTGTAAAAGTTATAGAGATATTATATCTAGGTTTGGAGGTTTAAGTCTGTTTCTGTTTTAGTGCAATCCAGCTTTTCTTAGTAGTACAAAACTGTAGTTGTTCTAAATCAAAATTCAAGAACAAAAAAAAATGTGATGGTATTTGTTAACGTTTGAAGTTGGATTGTAAATATGATGGTATAAAAGTGCAAATGTTATGAAAATGTGTCTGGGTCATATTTCACCCCAAAATAAAAAAAGAAATACATAAAATAAATGTTAAAAAAGTAAAGTTTTTTTGTGCATTATTTTCATGACATTTATGCATTTACTCTATTATATTACATTGCATTATATTATATTGTATATTGTGAGATTCACCCATAATCTCAGAAATATGGAGGGAAATGTAGAGTTGGAGTATGTGGAGGTGGTCTAAGCAGAGATGTTGTTGCACCGTTGGCTGTCTGGAGGTTTTTGGCAGCCTATAAAGCCACAATATTCCAGCAGCTCATTCTCAATATGATGTGACAGTATTTTACACAAAGGAGGCACTGTACCGACTCACAACCACACACTAACAGATGCACAACTGTCTTACCTTGAGTGTATGGGGGGATTTTATTCCAGTGTCCAGTGGGAACTGGAGCAGAGTGAGTGACTATGAGCAGCGGGGAATCTATTGACAGGGCAAATATTTGGAAGAGTATCCAATTTTGTTTTAGTTATGTGAGGCTTTGTTTTTTTCCAAGTAACCCTTTCACCCACCTAAACCTTATAGACGTGTGTGAATGAATGAATGGATAAAGAAATTAGTGATGTTGCTTGAGTGAAAACTGCGTGCACACATCTGGTATTATTGGACAGCTGCAGTTAGCTGATGGTGTGTGATGGTTGTTACACATTGTTGGAGGCTTTTTATTATCTGTTCAAGAATATTATGTGTATATGTTTATATGGGCGATCATTTGTTCATGTATGAGCGATTATCATACATGATTAATGTGAATTCTTGTCTGAAAACATGATGGATCATCTTCCTTTTTTTTGGAGTGAGCATGAATTATTGACCCCACTACACTCTGAAAAATGCTGGGTTAAATATAACCCAGTGCTGGGTAAAATAGGGACAAACCCAGCATTTAAATGTTTAACCCAACCTTCTGGGTAGTAGCCCAACCGCTGGGTCAAAACAACCCAATTGCTGGGTTTGTCCCTATTTTACCCAGCACTGGGTTGTATTTAGCCCAGCATTTTTTAGAGTGTAACCTCATGCTACACACACACACACACACACACACTTACTTCCTGTTGCCCGATTTAAGAGGGTTGGATGTCATGGAGGCTCTATTAGTTGAAAGACTGTTTAGTTTAGTTTTGACTGAGATGTTCATTACTAGTTCTGCAGCTGATTTTTTTTCCCAGCTGAGTTTTATTATATTATATATTTTCATTTAGTCATTTGTTTTGGATTAATGACTAGTATTTATTTATTTATTAGCAGTTAATTTATTTATTTAACAATTAATATGTCAGAGACATCTAGATAATTTTATTATCTATCATTATATTATATTATATTATATTATATTGTTTGTTTTGAGTTAATGACTGTAGTATTTATTTATTCATTCATTGCAAAATCTGTGAGACATCAAAGCCTGTGGTTTTCATTAGTCAATGGTTATTTTGTACAGTATCTGTGAACACTTTCATTGCTTTTGAATGTTTTTTATGTCCACATTTCATATAACAATTTTAATTGAATGAGTACTGTTGGATCTCTGTTTGTGTGTGTGTTTTCTCAGGTACATGACGGATGGGGGATTGAGTCTGTATACGCGGCGATTGAACCGGATGCCGGATGGAATGGCAATGGTACGGGAAAGTCTGCAGCGTAATGCCTCCACTGGCCAGGGAGACGCCGACAGGTACCTAAAACATCTTTCTCGTCGCTCTGATCATGATCAAATGGCATTCTCTACATGCATAAAATGTAGAGTCACTCCTGCATTGAAATATCAGTCATTCCTTTAACTGTGCAATGCCGTACAGTGTAGTTTTATTATAAAAAAGTATAATAATAAAATCAGCTTCTGTAGCTGATCACGTTTAACTGTTTTGTCAGAATACAGCCCTATCATCACAGCTGCATTGGTTTTGTAGGCTGCTGTAGGTCTATATTAAGTTAATTGGGGGAAATCTTGTATGAAGGTGGCTCTGGTTGGTGATGGCACGCTCCATTACAGAAAAGAAAAGACTAAAGTAGGTCTTCTATTGAGTTGAGTTTGCACACTCCACTAGCTTTCAAAAGAAAGTAAGCAACTGAAATGATGGCTTGTCACCACAACCCTCTCTGTTGCAGATCTAGGTTGTAGGTTGTGGGTGTAACCCTGCAGAGTGGCTATGACTGCCCCTCTTAAACTATCATGTTTAATTAGCATGTGTATTTATATGTATTTGAGTCATTTAGATTAGCGAGTCAAATGTGTGCGTGAGCTGGATGAGATGCCACTCATTCATATATTACATCACCATATTTAGTCCTTCAGCCAGAGGGGAAAGTAAGATTTAGATTGGGGAAAATATTGGAAGATTGTGTGTTTTAATGCTTCCTATATTTCATATATGGATAGTTTTTAAAGTCTAGATTAAATCATATCAAGTGGTCTTCATGATAGTGGTCTAATGCTGCCTGTGTTTTATAGACTATATTTTTCATTCTTCTATGGAATATTGCTCATCCAGTGTTGGTAGTTTCTATCATTTGACTACTGCCCAAACAATATCACATATTTACATTATTATAAATATATTTACATGCTGCTGCTAAGTCATGTGCAGATTGGCAAATGAAAACCATTGCTTCAATAAGTCGTAAATGATGTCAGTATGATTATTTCAATATTATTATTGTTAATAGAAAGAGTTTCTCAAAACGCCATAACAACTGCATAGCAACACCCTGGCAACCACCTATAGTGCATCGTGCCAGCAAGTTTTGAACAGCCTTTTTTTGGAAAAAAAAATCTGTATTAAATCAAGGCTCCCTGTTTTTTATTTTTATTTATTTATTTCTGTTGAATGTTGTTTGTAATACTAAAATCTAAATTAATCTAAATCTTAAAATATACTTCATATATTCATATATATCTCAAAATCTGTATTTTTCCATTTAATCTATTAAATATTATTTAATCACTAATCGGTCACTGTTTATTTTTCATCATTTTATATATATAATATTTCATATACTTTTTAACTGTTTTTATAGTACTTCTTGTAGTCAGGGTGTGTAATTTAGTAATCCTCAATTTTGACATTTGCCATTTGACACATGACATATTGTCTCATTCTTATAGACAAAACACATGTGAAAAGAGTCCATCACATCTGATTTAAATTCCCTTCTCTGCACCAGAACAAAAGAGCTTGTCTCTATGTTGGATCCTTTTGCATGGATCTGTTAAAAACAGATGGTTTTGAATACGATCAAGACTGTCTTGAGACAATCACCTATTATCTTTCATATAATTGCATTTGACCATTTTAGCCTATATTACTGTCGCCAGTGTTTATAATTCAGTATTCAGGGGTATGCTGGGAATGGTTACTTAGAAATGTACCCCCTGTACATACAAATATATGCACCCTTCACCCTGACTAAAGTGTGTCATGTTAGGACTTGACCACAGGACGAGCACATGGGGGAATTCCTCATCTTTCCCATCTCTTTATAGTCCCGTCCCCTCATTTTCTCCCTGTCCCCCTCAGACTCCGCACATCAGAGGAAATGAACAGCGCAGTGATGAAATGATATAATATGGGTGTTTCATGCACCATAAAAAGCCTCCCTCTATTTTGGACGGTTCCCTCCAAGTCCCCTCCGCTGTGCTGAGGATGTTGTGGTTAACCACCAGCCTCTAAACATCTACCACTGTCTCTGCTGCCCTGAAACTCATCCATTACTCTTTCTCTCTTTTTGTTTCTCTCTTTCAGCCAGATCTATCTGTTATCTTCCCCTTTTTGTTCTGCAACCCGATCATCCTTCCTTCTTTCCAACACCCTTTTAACCACACACCACATTAGTGCGTTTGCTTCCTTTGCTCAGTGCAGAGCAGACTGTTTAATCACATGAGCTTCTTTATGAATGCAATATCAGAAGTTCCTGTTTTTCCCAGTCTATAATATTGGAAAGGCAGCTTTGATATGGCACAAATGTTTTGGATGTTAAAGCAATCAGGGTCCATTTTGACTTGACTCCGAGTATTTAAAGGTGTCATTTTCTGCACATTCATAGCACTTTATGTATTTTTTCCACTTGTAATGCTAATCAAGATTTATTGCACCAAAAAGTAAATGATGACAGGATTTTCATTTTTGGGTGAACTATCTCTTTTTATAGTTAACTAAAACCATTAAAAATAATTTTTGGTTATTGAAATAAAGCTGAAATAAAATAAAATATAAATATTAGATGAAAAAAAACTTGCTTTGGCAACTAACTGAAATTAAATAAGTTTAAGTACTAAAACCAAAACTGAAACAAAAAATAATTAGTTATATACACTCTAAAAAAATGCTGGGTTAAATGCAACCCAGCGTTGGGTAAAATATGGACAAACCCAGCGATTGGGTTGTTTTGACCCAGCATTTGTGTTACTATCCAGTAGGTTGGGTTAAACATTTAACTGCTGGGTCAAAAGATCTCAATCGCTGGGTTTGTCCATATTTTACCCAATGCTGGGTTGTATTTAACCCAGCATTTTTTAGAGTGTAAAATTAAAAAAATATATATTATAAAAAGGATAAAATATAAAATACTAAAAATTACTTGTAATAAAATTACTAAAACATAAATTAAAATGAAAACTCAAAATGCAAAAATAACAGCTAATTCAAAACATTAATAAATGCTATAATAGTATAGAAATAATACTAGCATATTTAGGTTGGTACCCCAGAGTGAGTAAAAATCTGTTTTACAGTATATGGCTTCATATGGTGTTGATAAATAATGACATCAGTTAATCAAACGAGTCATTTTTTCTTTTGCTTGTTGGATTCTTGGAAGAGACACTTATACCACATGATACTCTTTACGATGAGATGATATTATTTACAGCTCATATAATTAACCATGAATCATTATGTTGTCTTCTAGTGTCCTAATGAGGGAAAAACATTTCAAAAGTCCCTGGGGTGTCCTGCTTTAAAAAACACATCTTCTGGCAGGAGAGTAGATAAAAGGGAGAGAGATAGCATTAGAGAGGCCCTGGGAACGACACAGCCGTGTTCTCCACCACATGTTTGAGTGTAAGAGGTTTAAGGTCAGAGCACTAAAAAAATGGCCCCGGACAGGCATTCAAACAGCAGTGACCAGCCAAAGACCCTCAGCCGGGTGTGAACTTTAGTGCACACTTCTCAGGCTGTGAGAAGACTGAAGCATAGGACAGAGAGTTGGTATAAAGAGGCAAAGGCGGCTTGCATTTTCCCGAGCAGGTGCAGTGGATCACTGATAGGGATCTGTGTGCTTGTGATCATCTTGTACAATGTTGTAGGATCCTTCTTCCCTTTGTTTGTGCAGACCCTTCCTCCCTCCAGCCGTCAGTCTGATCTGTCTGCAGCACACCTGTGCAGCCGTGAGACACCTGGGAGTAAGGGCCTCCCATCTCTCTCATCTGTATGTGGGTGTCCTGGACTGTTTTCGACTATAAAGACTCAGTATTCGTTGGGCCTCTAATATATTGGTGATATGCTGAGAAAAGAGTCTTAAAACGATAACTCATTCCGATAAATAACCGTTTTCAAAGCACAATGCAAAACTGTGACATTTCATTCACGGATGCTCTTCAGTCGGCAGCGCTAAACCCAGAAGCACATATACTAACTTGCTGGCAACCCGCCAAAATAAAAACCTGCTCATTTTAAGGTTGAAAATTATAAATTCATATTAAAAAAATGAAGGGAATATTAGCATTTTATTTGTAAGTTTACTATAAAATAATTGTATTTGTATTTAATGCTCCCTTTTATTTTAAAATATAATAGTATTATCACACTTTAAACTTGTAAAATTGTTTATTATTTTATTTTAAATTGTTTACATTTTCTGCCCTTTTTTGTATTAAGAAGTACATATAAGTTTGGGCTCAGCAAGGATGCATTAAATTGATCAAAAGTGAAAGTGAGACTTTTACATTGTTACAAAATATTTCTATTTAAATAAATGTTTTTCTTTTGAACTTTCTTTTTATCAAAGATTCTTCACTTTTTCCACATAAAATATTAAGCAACTGTTTTCAACAATATATTAATAAAAGTTTTCAACAATAGTAATCATTTATTGAGCATCAGATCAGCAGATTGGAAGGATTTCTGAAGGATCGTGTGACACTGAAGACTGAAGTAATGAAAAAATTACATTTTAAAAAGATATTGTAATGGAAAACAATGATAAGATAAAATAATATTTAAGTAAATTAAAATAGGATATTTTTTAGAATGTTATAATATTTCTTAATATTGATACTGTCTTCTGATCAAATCAATGCCTCTTTGCTTTCAAAAACATTAAAAAGATCTTCTTTGAAAAACATTTAAAAATCATACTGACCCCAAACTTTTGAACTCTAGTGTATTTATTAGAGGACATTTTTTTTAAATGATAAGCTTCTACTTTGAAAACATTTTCTCTTATGGCCCTGAAAAAGAGAGATTCCTCTCTACCAGCCCACATCTGTCGAGATTCCCAGAGCCTCAGCAAACCTTTGGCGATCAGAATCAGGACATACCCTGGAAAAGCGGGAATCTGGAATTTTACAGATTAGGATTTGCAGAGTGGTGAAGTGAAAGTGACGAGTGTCGGGTAGGTGGACTTTAGACTTTTATTTAATACTCAAACTGAATATATCAGGGTTTGTTTGCTTGTCACTGGTTACTTTTAGAAATAGTACAAAGAAATAGAGCTGGTTGTAAAATACAGAGAACACGTCACCATTCTGTCTACATATATGCTGATGTAGAGATTGCATGAGATAGATTTAACAGATGGATCGGCCTCTGCTCTTCTCAGTGTAAATTGATACAGCGTAATATAAACTCCAGTTATGGGATCTTCATTGCAGTAGTGTTTCATGTGTGCATGTCGCTGTGTTTATATGCTTTAAACCCTCAGAGTCTGCACATTTTAAATGTGATTACACACACACATTACAGGTAACTGGATCAGCATATGATGATCATGTTTAAGCATTTAAAGCAGGCAGACCTTATGACCAGAGACAGAGAAACGCTGGCCATCTCACATACGCGATTCTTTCAAACCATGATGAAAGCTCTGTTGCTAAGGAAAGTTGGGCAGATGAGAGACTCTGTGGATGCTCTGTGGATGTGTGTGTGTGTGTGTGTGTGTGTGTGTGTGTGTG